CATCAAAAACCCAAAAAATCCTGTTATCATACGAAAGTATATAACTGCTAAATTAGGTTAGTGCTAAAAAACGGAACCAAGAATGGGAAGTAGTTGAGTAGTAATACAATGGAAAGTGCAAATCATAAGAAAAGCAAGGAGCATAAAAGATGAAAAATGAGGGCACAAGAACAATGCGAATATTGAGGGTAAAACAGACACACACACACATAGGCAGATAGACAGACAGACAGAAGGAGGGACACAGACAGAGACAGACAGATAGACAGAGGGAGATGGATGGATGGATAAATAGATGAGCGTTTGTTTCATGGTATTATATGATATTTGAGATACTTCTTTTGCCCGTGGTTATGAGGTTTGAATTTTTGAGCCACCGCTGTTACTGCCATGCAAAACTGTCTATGGCGTACTCCTTTTGAAGTTTTTACTTTGCTCTATAATCACCAGTGAAGCAGTACTATGGTTGAGCTAGGTGTTCAGAGCTTAACAAATGTTAAACAGTTGAACTGTTCATTGGCTTACATTCTCCCCTCGACAAACATGTAAAATAGTGCTCAGAGATACGTTTGAAAAGTGCATGTTTTATGCCGTTTATTTAGGCAGTTCCATAGGTGCAAGTAAATTTCTAGAAATAAACTTAGGTGGCCCAAAGTAACAACTTGTCGTTAACGCATCCTGGAACCAACTGCTCACTAGAGAAGTCCGTCTGTACCTCCTCAAAAAAGAACGTCTTCTTCAGCGATCTGGACAGGCGATACTTCAGGATCTCTGATGCCATATCACCTTTGAAACCAACGTTCATAAACAAGGTGTTCTTCGGAACTGTGTGTACTTGCTCCACATTCTGTTTGGATTTCAACTTCTTCTCAATATATCTGGATGGCTATCCATTTTGCATGAGAATCTTCCGTGGTTTGTCTAATTCATCGTTGATAGTATCACTCGTACTGGTCTTTGTGATTCTCGAAGATGAAGAATGGATCAGGTTCGTTTTTCCTGTTAGGAAGCACTCAGCTATGGGAATTCAAGTATTGTCCACACCATATATGCTTCCTACAAATCGATCTGCGAATACAGGCATCTGATATCCGTGTTAATATGACATCGAGAAAATGGAATTCTGAGTCCTCTTCAAATTCTGATATGGAGTTGACTGGTGGGTGACAATCACTCGACATTTTGACTACAGTCCCAATATCTGTATTTTGATCACATATGATGAATGTATCATATATATATCTCGTGTATATGTGTAGAAACTACCAACTGTTGAATGAAGCACAGTATACTCTAGGTTTCCTACAAAGCGGTCATCAGTCAGTAGTGGTGGAAGTGGTGACCCCATCCTTATTGTCTATACAGCTGATAGTTGAAGTGGACTATGAAGGTATATCATATAAGTAATTACTTTAAATAGTTCTTTGCAATACATACATGAAAATTATTATTTTTGATGAAATCACATAGAAAACAGATAGTTTCTGTGAGAAGGATATTGATCGGTGAAGAGAAAAACCACATCCGGGGAAATCATTAGCTTACTGCATACATATTGGTATTATTAACTGACTCAAAAAAGTCGAAGGAATCCAATAAGCTCTGCGTGTTTAGCTGTTTTGTAACTGGTTGAAGGACATCCGACAGCCACTTGGTGATTGAATTTTGTGCTGAATTGTTCATGTCCAAAACTGGAGGCAGAGGAAGATTGTCTTTGTTTTTTTCACTTTTTCTTTTCTAATCTCTCAAGGGATTTGTATTCATATTGTAGTTTGTCAATATATCGAAATCATTTAGTTCATGGGTTTTTTCCATCAAAAGTCTTCGTGGAGAGCAATATTCAGTGCATTTTTTCCTGTTTTCCAATGAAATTATGATAAGCTGTCGCTATTTTACACCTAACCTGAATAATTAAGATACTGATAACTGGATTTCAACACCAATGTAAACATCACGAAACCTAATGTAATACTAATAAATCAGTACTTATTACGTTGTCAGGGATGAAATATAACTCTTTTTATTCCTGAACTTAAACCGTTTACAAGCATTGATTGGCCACTGGACAGTAAGCAACTTTATATTTTCTAGTCCAATATGCTGGTCAAATTCTATCTATCAGTTTCCAGTGTGGTAGCCAAACTGTTCACTGGTAGAGATGATAGTTGGATGAAGCCCTTTTTGACTTAGGTTTCGTGCTTTTTGACATTCGTTAGCAACACAAATCTGCAACGTTGACGGAACTGATGTCCCGCCTGAGACTCAAAAAACACACCACCAGAGGCTGCAGTCAGAGACTTTAACATTGTGCTATTCCGGCAAGAGTCAACCTCCTATAGGACTGGATTGTATGCAACGACTGATCATTAGGGGTTAATCAACTGCCGTACAGAATGACGCGGGTTCAAACCCCAGGAGGTACATCAACTCCGTCGAGTTTGAGGATACGCCTCGGAGATCAGTGTCAAAAAGCACAAATTCATTGTCCAGGGCTTCCTGGTCATTGTCTTCATCTAACTAACATCTATGTTTCCAAACTTTGTCTGGTTGGTAGTGAAGGTATTCTCAAAATACGTTATTTCATATGGTTTGGTTTCACAGTAATGTTCATTATGAAAAAATGCAAATGCCATAGCGTACATGAATACACAGCAACTAAGTTATGAGGTCAATTTTCATGTTTTCTGCCGTTTCTTTTGCTACTCATTACATAAGTATCTTTATTCTTAATCTGTATCAAATATTGAATAAAATGAAACTGTTGAAAAACAGTCAAGATGATTATCATTTCGACAACTCATTTTCACAGCTGTACATTCGTAAATATAAAATGATAGAATTTTTCTGACAGGTTCACAGTCAGAGGTTAAACCTAACCAATAAATATATATAAGGCATGAAATGACCTTACGTAACACGACATAATCTCAAAAGTTTGTTTAAAATGCGTTGAACAGTAAGGTTTCGTATCTTGTAAAAATAAATAAATAAATATACAGAGAAAAGGTGGGCATAAAATCATCTCCAGCTTCGTAGTTAAACATCTCATAAACTCTGTAGAAGTGAATCCCAGGGTTCAAGGTTCTCTACAAAGCTCGATTAAATCGATCAAAAGGTGTGACGATTAGATACTTACGTACAACCAAAGGTTTGGCAATTCACAGCTCCAAACCTCAATTATGTATATTTCTACACATGCTTAATGATTTATTGTTACTTGACACCAAAACTTACTATCACGAGGATTTTATAGGAACTATGGAAATCATGTCTTATCATTTTGACTACTATCTAAGATGGTCGTGGTTTGGCAGACCAGTATTTATGCTGAATGACGATTGAAGGTGAAACGAAAATTTGAATCGCGGACGGATTCGAATCAGTGACCATCGGGTTTCAGGCCCGATGCTCTATCAATCACCACCCAAAATTAATATTAGTCTGCTAAGTCATGGCCATTTCAGATGCTAGTCAAAATGATAATCAGTACGATACTCCACCTCTCTGGTTTAGTTAGACTTGGATTGGGATGAGAACTCCTGATTAGGCAGCTAGTGTGAGTACGATCAAGCGGTAGTACCGTGCCACGAACTTACATGGTAATTGGGTAAAACACAGCAATTGAAGTGAAATTAAAATCTGGTCAGCAGTCTGACCTCGTAGCTCAGTTCGTAGAGCATCGGGTAGGAAACCCGGTGGTCTCTGGTTCAAATCTGGTCGCAGTTCAAACTTGTATTTTACCTTCAGTCACCACTTAGTATAAATATGTACATTTACTCATTAGGTATGACTGTTGACCAGAAGCTTGTATGGAACATTTTACCACTTAACTTATATATTTGCCAATGTAGAGGTGGATTAGGCATGCACTGAGAAGACCATTCGGGGACATCACGTGCCAAGCCAGGCCGTTGAGTGGAACCCAGATGGGAAACGACTAGCTGGGCGTCCCAGGTGACGGTGACATGGAGGAGATGATGTGAGGAAGAAATGAGAGCTTATGGGCTGTCATGGGACCAGGTTCAAAAGATTGCAGAGAAGAGAGTGGAATGAAAGCGTGCTACTGAAGCCTTATGTCCCACTAGGAAACCAAGGGACAAATAATAATAACAATGTACACTTTTTAAATATAGATATAATTTTTAGGACAGTATTGCTCACAGAATATTATCATTCAGAGAATTATTGAAAACCTCACGACACTGAAGAGCTGTTTTGTTCTGCTAAAAGACTTCTCAACGCTCCATGATCAGCGATGGCCCTGCCTCACCAGAGGTTGAACTCGGCGAACGCACGTACCATTCAGCCACTGCAATGGACGAAGTTCCATGGTCCACGGTTTTCTACTTCTGTCAGTTCGTGATATAATGTGACTGTTATTCGAGGTCTTCAGTAGGCATCCATTCCACTTCCAACTGATGTTGACCCGACAGATCACGATTTCTCATTAGAACTTAGGGATATATACCTTGAAACCTGTCATTAATATGCACTATACAGTAATGTAGTTTGAGTTTTATGGTTCTCAGAATGATGTCAGTCCTTCATGAGTGCAACCTTGAAAAGAAAAGACATTTATCTTTACTGTAGCCTCTTTTTCTTGTTTTTCGGAATCATCAGTTGAATGTCCCTGCATTCTAGTAAGTGATAGTGTTTCTACTGAGAATAAGGTCGAATATGCATCATTTGAAACGCCAGAACATGAGATAATTAAACACGAAGGCCACCTTTTGTGTGATGACTCACTCGACGGAGGTCAGTTATTTCAATGAGGCATAAGAGTGGTAAGTTCCACTAATTGACTTTTGTGCCTTTTACCTCCGGTTGTCATCACATTTCAATTGAATGACCAGCGCAAATAAGGAGTATGACAATCGTGTAGTCCAATCTATAATCTCAAGTTGATTTCTGTTTGTATTAATAAACAATAAAGTGTCTTAACCCCTTTTTACTGATTACTTATATGATTCATAATTCTCTCTTCTCTTTTTCATTTTTAGACTCTTGTTTTCTTCTTGCTAATGCACGTATACTAGACTTTCCTATTGTTTACGTCAGTAATGGATTTATCAATCTAACTGGATTTGGACGTGTTGAAATTATGCAAAAACCTGGCTTATGTCCATTCATGCATGGACCTCAGACAAATAAGTCAGTTATGATTACACTGGAAAATGCCTTTAAAAAACAAAATTCTGAACATGTTGAAGTGATTTTATACAAAAAGAATCGTAAGTTTCTTACAATGTATGTTATTTGTCCCTTGGGTTCCTATTGGAACATACAGCTTCATTTGCACGTCGCCATTTCATTATCTTCGCTCCAGTCTTTTCAACCTGACTCAACGACTGCTCACAAGCTTTCATTTCTTCCTCACGTCATCTCCTCCATGTCACCGTCACCTGGGATTCCCAGCTAGTCGTTTCCCATAAGGGTTCCACTCGACAGCCTGACCTAGTGCGTGATATCTTAGAAAGGTCTTCTTAGTGTGCAATCAAACCATCTCCACTTTCTTCTAGATATTAGTTGGGCAATGGGTTCTTGGGTGGTTCGCTGCCACAGTGAATCCCTTGTTCCTTATTCTTATTGTTCTGGCCATCTCATCTTCAGTATCGAGCATAGGCAGCTATTGATGAATGACTGCAGTTTGTTGGAAATGCTTTTCGTGGTACGCTAAGTTTCTGAGCCATATAGCAGCACTGACTTGACATAAGTGTTGTGAATCTAGTTCTTGTTCTTTATGCTGAGCGCAGCGCAGTATAGTAGATCTCCACACTGATTTCAAGTTAATGAAGGCCTGTCTTGCTTTTCCGATCCTGGCTTTGACATCCTCATCCATGCCGCCTGTAATTGAAACTATGACTCCAATGTAGGTAGGCGAAAGAGGCTAATTCCTTTAGGTTTCTCTTGTTGATGGTGATTGGTGCTTGTTGTTGGTGGTGGTGGTTGGGTATCTTCATCACCTCTGTCTTCTCTACGTTCGTCTGAAAGGAAGTGACATCTTCACTGCCCTGCCTCTTCTGGCAACTTGTTAGTTTTTGCCCGCTGATCTTCGAGTTTGTGTAACAATAAACATAAATCATCAGGGATGAAATCCAAATCTTGTTGGGTCCTTCATCGGTCCAGCGTATGCCCCTCTCGCTCCTCACAGTTTGTTGCATGATCCAGTTCAGTCCAGTCGATCATACTCAAGTATGTATGAAGGTTAAAATGTGTTATTTATAAAGAAATTCTATTCACTTTAAATTCACTAGAAATAGTTTCATAAAGGATTATAAAACAGTAAATGTAGATAAAAAAATATGACATTCCTTCACAAAAACATCCTGTTTAACGGGACGAAGTATGATAGACTTTTTCATTGATTGTACACTATTGGCCGCACTGGACAGTATTTTCAATAACTATTGTGTTATGGAGAGCGATAGTATCCCCTAGATTTCTTAAAAACGTATGGAAATGCCTTATAAGCTTTCACAGTCAATCCTAACATATCAACCGCTAGAGAAAATCAACGTGATCATATATTTGAGACTTGGATAGGTAAAAGATCTCCCTAGAACTTTCCAAGACCATCAGTAAATGTATACAAACCATTAAATTTTGCACACATTCGACTAAACAATAAATCTTTATCGCTTTTTATCGCTTGTTTCTGTTTTCAAGAAACTGAGAGATTATCAAGAGTGAAATTTAAGCTTATTGTTCAACAGTCTACTCACATATAGTTACGTATATAATACAAGGATATATCAACCGGCAACAGAGATAGGATTATGGAAAGCATATTTTTTGATCAACTCCAGTTTCTGATGGAACAACGAGGTAAAAGAAGAGAACAGACAGTTTATGAGAATCATTGAAGGACTTACTGAAAAGCTGGATGGTATATAAGCTGCATCAATATCCGTGCGACCTGAGTTATATTGCATGAATTCTCTCATTTTTTCGTCATAAGACTTTAATTTTGATTTACTTATATGGACTACATTCGAGTTATGGTTCGGAGAGTATTAAGATCTGTTTCTTGTTGACCTTGAATTTCTTGATGTTGGAGTAAAAGTACGCGTTCTTTTAAAAGTACTGTACCATAATATATCAAAAGTAGATACTGGATACCAAATCGGAGTTAGTTCATGCCTTTTCTTGTGAAATATCATGTCGTTTACAATCTCTCTAAACGGGAGCAGCCAAAGACATAGGAAAACGTGGTCATGTGTTCAGAGAAAAATTATGTATTTACTTGATCAACCTTAGCCCGGAGTAAGGTTAACACGTTTTTAGTGAGCTATTACACCATGAATTTCACACTTCAACTTTTGACATCATCACACCTCACTCTTTTCTCTTACTTTGTCTCGGTTAATTTATTCATAAATAGCGGAATACACCCATTTATCGTAGGAAAAGACAAGACGTGGTTTCAGCGAAGAAAAGGTCTTCTTTTTGACAAAGTCATTTACTTAGCTGTACATTCGTGAATATATGTTACAGTGGGCAGAACATTCCAGAATTATTTCCGGTTAGAGGGCAAAATATATTGAGTAACTAAAGGAAGTTAATTAATACACATTTGCATTTAGAGTAGGAAAACAGACAAGAAATTATGAAATTAGATATAATTGCCTAATGCAGATTAGATCTATGACAGTAGAAAAATGAATAAGATATGAAGGAAATACATGTGTAGTTACCTGATACAAAGTGAATGTATGGTAAACAAGGCCTTATGATGACGATGGCAAAGATAAAGGTTGGACGTATATCGCTGGTTTGAACTTCTGGACCACTGGTGCTTCAGTTATAGACAGATACCTTGACATTACCCTTTTCGAGTAGGTTGATCGAACCCTGTAGAGGACTTTGAATGAGCTCTTGAAAGGAGCTAAGTGGCCTGAGTTCACGAGGTGTTCTGTTATCGAACTGAAGATACATTTCCGTACCCCCTTTGCTAGCCAGGCTGGGTAGTGTTTGCGGACATGTTTTACAAGCGGACGCATGGTACGACTGATGTACTCAGCTCCACATGAGCTAGTAAACTGGTAAACACACACTGATGTGGCCCAGTGCGTTGGTTTTTCTTTCATACATTGACTGAAACGTTTCTTGCAGGAGAAAAGAATCGAAGGTTGGTGGATAAGTATGTTCTGTTTAACCATTTTGACAGTCGTCTCTTCAAGATCTCTGCAGCAATATCATTTTTGAATTCAAGGTCCAACGAAAGAATCTTTTCGGTGCCAAATGTCTTCGTTCATTTGGGTTCTTCGGCTTAATGTTCTTATCTATGAATCTGCTCACCGGAACATATATTCACGAATGTACAGTTTAGTAAATGACTTCGTTGAAAAGAAAACCTCCTCTTCTCTGAAATCATGTCTTGTCATTGATAAACATTTATTTTCATTCTACTTGGTTTATGCCTTCGTTTACTCATACCATTACAAGTAATAATATGTAACCCATACGTTGCACTTCACATTTTTTATTTGTGATATTCGTCATTACATTCATATGATTTCTTACCTTAGTTGAATGAAATGTATCGCTACAGTATGATTATTTGATCATTACTAAGCAAACAAACACACATGTCATGTCTCAAACAGAAACCTATAAATGAATCAGTATCCTTTGGTTTTACCTCCTAATGTTGTAATTCTTCTGTTCATATTGATTTCATCGCTGATTATTATTGTGACTGATATCGATTTGATTTGATCTCCACCATTCACCCATGGTCTCTGACTCTTTTAATATTGAAGTGATTTTACACTATACTTCACACTGGTTATTGTATCTCGCCAATTCTCATGGATTTATACCTTTGGAGCCTATATATAACATTTTATTGGAAAGTTGTTTTCGGTGTCTAGCTGTACTTTAGTAACCCCTACAGTGTTAAAGGTATTTATCATATTCATATGAAATTAAACCAAGTTGTTATTCAGAAAACACGGAAAACTTGATAAGACACTGTTTTACTGTACAATTAGATGTTAAAGAATGAAATCAATCCATGTTATTGTCTCTCTAATACACAATGAAGATGTTGTGTATCGTGACAGACCAATAGGTCACTCACTACTAACTTGGTTACTCTCTTGAAACTTGCCTAGATTGACCTTTTATCTACAATTCTAATCCTAGACCGTTTGTTAGAAAAGAACTTAAAGAGTGGTTTTGAGATATTATTAACATTATGCTGTTAAAAGTTCAGAAATTTTGCTTAAATGTAGATCTGCTGGCATCGTTCTTTCTTTATCTGACATCTTAGAAACCAGATGACTGACAGTGGTATAAGGAAACAGCTATCATAGATTATACTTCATGTTGGCATAGTTACTTCATAAATTATTCATTATATTTGGTATCAGAAGGTTGCTACATCAATTTTTAAAACGTCTTGAACTTTATTTATGATAAAACAAGTAGACATTACTGTCGGTGTTATCTTTCTAAGTTTTACTTGATAGCTATCAAACCAACAAAAGTAAACACGTGTAAATCGTTCGACGTAGATCTTAATGGGTCATATGAGCACACGGCGATATGAGTCGGTTCCTTTCAGATAAAGCAAACAATTTCTGAACTAATATTATTCTTCAACTTGTAAAGAAAGCTAGAATGGAGTTAAGTCATCAATCGGAGTGTGAACATATTTTATTGGGAGTCATATTGCCAGTTTATCTGGTGCATAAATAGATGAGTAGTGTGTTTATAAAGAAGGAATCCTATCAAGCAATGATAGATGTCATGAAGTTTGAGGTTTATGAAGTCTTTATTCATTTCATTCGAAAAATCATTGAAAATGTGACAGCAATGAACATCTTGTATGGAATATTCTTTGAGACAGACGATTGAACTTTGACTCAGTAGGTGGATGGTTAACTCATTCGTCATGTAACCTAAAGGTTTTGAGTTTGGTCCTTGGCAGAGTCGTGGCTGCATGCTGATGAATAGTTCTATACTTGGACATAACAACTATTTAGTGCTGTCTAAGCTTTCAGTGGCCTTCCAAGTGATTTTAGTTGCTAATAAATACTACCTAATTCATAATTATCTTTTTTAATTCAAAAAATCACTGACAGTATATGCATATGTATTTTTCTATTCAACTCTAGTGACTCCGCTGTGTATCTTAGTTGAATTGATTCCAATAAGAAATGATGAAGATATGGTGATACTTTTTCTTATCACACTCAAAGATTTGACAGCTTTTCGTCAACCACTAAAAGAAGACAATGCTCAAAATTCAGCTTTGGGAGCATTTGCTGCTGCAAGTGATGCTGGAAGTAGTAAGTATTTCTATGATATCATCAAGTCAACTGTAATTGCCTTTAATACACATGATTTTTTTTTTAGAGAACAGTAAATCAGTCAATTTTTGTTCAGGAACCAATGGTTAGTTTTTGTACTGTGAAGTGAATCACTGAGCACAATCAGTAGAAGTTTGGCGATCGTCACAAAACGCTAAACACTTTGTGCGTACTTTTAAAATTTTAGTTAATACATTTTATTTGAGTACTACTACGATGGAAGGAAAATTTCTTCATTGATTCAAACAGGCCTTGGTGATGAATATTAACAGAGGCAGAAAGTATATTTAACAAATCTCTTTAAGTGACAAGGTAATTCGTTTGCTGTTGAATGCAGTCGAATTTCTGTATGTGAAGGGGTACCGTGAATCTTAACTAACTATATTGAAAACCTGGGAACACTGGACAAGTATTAAGTTGTATTATAGGACTCCTCAGGAGCGTGCACCCATGACCCAACCAGGGATCGAACTAAGGACCATCAGTTTTTGCAACCATCATATAGCATTCGAGCCAGTGGTTCGCAAGTCAATAGTTCAGATTTTATACTCCTCTTAGTTCATGATATAGTGTATCTGATTACCATCAGATGACATTGGCGGGTGTTTTTTTTTCCCATGTCCAACTTTGTTCAGCTTCCAAGTCATGACTTCTCATTAGAATTTCTAGAAATCTCATCACAAAATAATTCACTAATTAGCTCTGGAGAGTAATTCAGCTCACGGGTTTATGGTGATTTATCTTTTACAAGTTGGTAGTTATGGTTTTTGCTACTATTTTACATGATATTCAAGTGTTATTATTCACAGTGTTTCTTTTCACATGAAGTATTTTTGGCAGATTAGAACTTATTTCATTCTTTCAGATGTCGATATGAAGTATACACAGATAACTGATGAAAATAAAAGTTAATTTCGGCACGCTAACTGTTTTGCTATCACAGCTGATTATTGTTCTCCATCAACTGTGTGAAATAAAATGTATTGTTAGTCATATCTTGCTTAAAATAGGATAGGTAAGCATATTATGGTTTTTATATTGTTGTATAGGTTGCTAAGTATTTTGAAATCAAATGGTAATAATACCGTCAGATTCAATAAAACCTCTAGATGTATCTGAAACCTCAAGGAAACTGATATCTTGCCTCAGAGATTTAAATTTATGTCATTCAGCAGTTAAGTCACAGACTGCCACTGAGTTATTCTCGCTGTGACTGATATCCTGTAGGACTGGATTAAAAACAGTGTTTGGTCACTGCAGAGTAACCAATTTAATGCTGTCTATCAGTGTAATTGCATGTATGAATCCTGAACGTGGATGGGTGCTCTAATGGATAAAACTCTGGCGTTTGAAGCTACTGGTCTCGAGCTCAAATCCCAGTGGGAACAACACCACTCACTGGAAGCCAGATACATCCAACTGACGAGTCCTAAATAGAACAAAACGTGCATCCTAGATTCTACTGCTAGCCACTATCTATTATTACTATTTAATCTATTCTAGTCCTAAATATTGACCGAATTCTTTCGATCTCTTAGCAATGTCAGGCTCTGGGACTCAAAATCGCAGAGATCTCTGGTAGATGGTGAGTTTCCTTAGCTTACTAGCCACACTGCAAAATAATCAATAGGATTTATTCAGCACTAGTTAGATAACAGGAATTAAGTTACTGTCTAGTGACCAGTTCATGTAACCTAGGTTCGCAGACCCATTCCTGTTTCCTACTGCATGACTCTCAAATGCATATAAATCTGAACCATTTATTCTCGACACAGAATTTCCGCATATATACATACTGTTTAAAACGTTTATGGACTTGATATCTGTCCATTGTAATTATATTTAATATTACATCTGAAACAACGAAAGTTCATTAGCTGATCAAAAACGTCTAGAGAGTTAAGTATTTCATATATGAATATTATGGGCGGAAGTCTATGAAACTACATGAGATGTCAGTATGTATCACAGAACTTGAGAAAAGCTATACATTTTCAGAGACCAATGTTCAACACCACAGGTTTCACGCTGGGTAAACATGGATCTTAAATACATGTTACCAGGTTGGAAGTTTCTGGTGATACAGTATGACTTCATGTTAAGCCTTCACTCAAGCTACACAACTTCCGACCAGTGACTAAATTAAAGGGGCAAAAGTCACAACTATGGGTTCAAAGTTGAATCTAAGGAAGTCTGGCTAATGTAAGAATACTTATAATTTCCCGCTGCTATACAGGGTCGAGCTGTTCTACATCTGTTGGTAGATGGGCTTCTGTTCGGATACCCCGAAACTGCTGAATATTCATGATGTTAAATTGAACTTGATGTTCAGCTGAGGGATCTAGGGAGCGCTTTTTGTCTCATTTGGGACTCGTCAGCTGAATGTACCTGCACCTCAGTGCTGACTGATGTTGTTCCCACTAAGCCTAGAACCCAGTACCCTTCGCTTCAAACACCAGAGCCTTATCCACTAAGCCACTGGGGCACGATAGCCAACTCTTGTGCACCAGGCATCAGTTGTTGCTATGATCCATGTATTTTTCCTTTGCTATACAGGACAAAATTACTCGACCTCTGTTAGCAGATGAGCTTACATACTGATGCCTCAATACTGCTGAAACAGTTGGCCGATACTACTTATCAGCTAACAGAGGTCAAGTAATTTGGCCCTGCATAGCAAAAAGAAATTACTAGTATCATAGCGACAACTGATACTTATTGCACAAGAGATGGTTATCTTGCCTCAGTGGCTTAGTGGATAATGCTTTTGCGTTTGAAGAGGCGGGTACTGGGTTAAAGCCATAGTGGGGTTAACATCATTCCGCATTGGGGTCCAAGTACATTCAACTGATGAGTTCTAAATAATATCAGATGCGCGTCCTGAATCCCTCTACCAGTCACCAAGATCAATAGAAGGTTAGCGCAGTTGTAACCAATAAATAAATACAGACTAAGAACTACTGACTGGATTGTTCGGATAAAATCGGAATCTAGTTAGCTTTTTACAAACGATGCTTATTCCATAGTACAATGGTCTGTAGTATCATTTCATTTCTCTCAGCAGAATTTAATCACCTGAAGCCTTGATTGACTCTAGAAAGTTGGGTGTCGAAAACTTTAGTTTAATAAGGCATAAAAGACCATTAGATCAAATTTTCCGCTTCATAATTCACAGAAAAATGTTTTAAAAAAAACTGCATTTACATGAACCAACCCGGACAGTTATAAATGGGACTGAATTGCTCAATTTTTATTTCCTTTTTAGGTTGGGGAAGATTTGCACGTTTAGTCTTTTCAATGGTTCGTCAGAAACCAGATGAATTAAATAACAATATTCAAGACCAATCAGATCCATCGACATTGAATATTGAAAACGAATCATATCAAAATTCACAGCAAAAGTTACAAGATAAATTACAGCAACAACAGAAATCACAATCACCTGGAGCTGAAAAAAATGTTGACTCTACTAAAGAAACAATCAGTGGTGATATTAATACTAGTGGTGAAAGTGAAATTTTACCATCTAATCAACAAACTTGTAGAAAGTCAGTTAAACTTCAACACTTATCTCCAGCAGATACTGCTGGTAGTTGTAGGAGTAGTGTAGTTGGTAGTTTTTCAAAATCATTAAATAAATTGGAATCCGGTGAATTCAACTTGACCAATTTGGAAATTAAGTCAAAGAGACATAAATACAGTTTATTCAAGAAGAAACAAAACACAATCAATCATACTGTGTCAAATTCAAAGAAGTTAGCAAATATTAAGGTGAGTTCAACAATATCCTAATTCCATAGTTGTGAAACTAGTTGTCCGGGAAAAAAAACTGTATATAAGCATCAAACTGGTTGCATAAGAGGCGGCCTGGTAGGCATTTGAACCAGTAAGTGTTGACTTCTAGTCTTCAAATGTAGGTCCTAAATAAGATGAAGCACGCATCCTGGTTTTCTTTGTTATTCACCAGAATGAATCATTGTTTTTACTTCAATACGACAAAATAATTTGCTTTTGTAAAAGCATCTATCCGGTGTTTTATCCCATCAAATCCTGGAATTATGTTACTGAAGTAAGAGTTTGAGATTTGCCTAGTCATTACTCATTTTTTTTAAGATCCTTGACGCATTATTAAATCGAGTGAAGCATTAACGATGAAAAATGGAAGGTTATAGCATCAAAACATATATCTCGCACAGTTAGTAACCGTCGGAACCTAGTGGCTTATTCTACAGTGCGCCGATGTTTTAATTAACGGTTACTGAGATTGAGTCTTTGTCGGAACGACACCATCTGCTGGGAGGCAGGTACATTCTATAGTCGAGTGTAAAATTGAACGAAATACGAATCCATAGCTTCACTACTACTTATTATTCAGCATTGATATCAAGATTAATTGTCATGTCACTTACCAAATGATACAGTTATCATCAAAATTTAGCCGTATACATTTAACACTGAAGAAAAATAATTTATTCAAAGTATTTTAATACATGAACAAAAAATTGGCAATGGAATTTGATATGGAAATTTATGACCAGCTAATTCATCAATATTTTAGATTTATTATTCATATATACAGCTCTATTCATTTTTAATGTTCAATGTTTCAATAATTTCAATAAAATGCCATAATAACGGTGAAATTTAAAAATTCCTGTTCGGAGGATATGGAATTCGAAATTTTACATGCAACAAGCAATTAGGATACTTCATATGATATTATGGTTTAGTCATTCACTGGTAAAAAAAGACGAATTTTTTGCTGTTGTTGTCTAACCAACTGATGAAATGAAATAAAAGATTGTATGAAGACGCGTAGGAAGAGATTTTGGAGCATAGGGTATGAGTTAGTGTGCAAAAGTACTGAAACAGAAAAATGTATGTAAAGGTTTCATGCTTACCCCTTAGAATTCTACTTTAGAATAAATGTTGACACCTTCAAAGCATCAGTAAGGATTCTGATCACTGTACTTGTGTATTCTTCAATTTTTGTCTTAATGGTTATCTAATCAACACTAAATAAAACAACATTCTAATATACACTTGCACATAAAGTGAATTATATTTCAGAAGATAGTTTCGTCAACAAAGAATATTCTTTATGATAACTTCCTTGTCAAATTCTACAACTATATACCTATGTTGTTTGTGTAAAAGAACCAAATGTATGTGAACACTATAAGAAATATTAGAACGATTTTGAGGTTTATGGGGATTTATTGAGTTCACGCTGCTGTTCATCAAGGAATGACACCAGTTGGTGAAACATTGAAAACCTGGGGGCACTGAATAGTTAATTCGTCTTAATAGAGGATTCCCTGAGCAGCGCGCATTCATGACCCCGTCCATTGATGACCAGCTTTGAGAGGTGATTCCCAGAGTTCCGATTAGAACTCATGACCTTTATGACCAGCAAAGTCGACTGCACTGGATGAAGGTCAAGCTACATAGTGAACTGAGGGAAGTTAGAAATACGGACCATTGGATTCTGACCCAGTAGCTCAATGATAACTTGTTGGTCACGGAACATGCAGGTCCTCGGTCATGGGTACGCACTTCTGGAGAGTCCCATACTAGGAAAAAGCATTTGTTTAGTCCTCCCAGGTTTTCAACGTTTCTTCAACTGATATCAGTCCATGATGAATTCCAACCTGAAATATGAGAACACGGAATAGTTAAAGTGAACGAATCAGAGGATTTCCATCAGTAAAGATTCAAACGAATGACAATGTTCACTTTTCGCTGAGCTCATGTCAAACGAAAAATACAAAAGACAGCATGTTTTGAGTAGCGCTAGATGGTAAAGGGGAAATAGTGTAGAACGAAACAAAGAAAAAGGAGAAATGCACTCAGCAACCATATACACGTTTATGCATTACGTAGTGAGCCACACCTATTGTGCAAGGGTGAATAACACTACCTATCTGCTTAAATCTTGGTAGACAAAACAGGGTTCTAACCTGTGACCGGTCGGTTGAAATCTAAGAGTCTGAATTAATGAGCCAGAGATCAGGGAATTTCATTCCATAATTTGTACTCTTTGCTGAATACGCCTAAATTTTAACATGAATTCTTTTCAATCCGATTATGAAGGCCAAGTCCAAAACATTAACATGAAGTCGAATCAAATGGAAATACATAAAAAAAGGAGTAAATAGTCTTGTATGCAAATTTCAGTGCCTAGGTGAGTTTAGGATTGAATAAAAAGGGATAAGAGATTTGAAGAACACAAGTCTATATAGAATCTGTGGATTAGCACACTATTAGGCTTACAGAATATGATAAAATTTCTTAGCGTTATGGTGATTTAAGATACGTGAAATCTTCAAGTTAGAAATTAGCTCTTAGATAAGATGCTGAGAGCCTCCTTAACCTCAAAGCAGACCACGGCAATTGACTTGTTCAAATTTCTATGATTTCCGCTATACGAATTTTGAAAACTTGATGGAAAACCAGTAAAAACTGAAATATAACTTATTCGTGTTAGCTGTATGGTTTGTTTCATCTATAATTATGATGAAAATTTTCAAACAGATGAATTATGTTTATCGAAAAACAGAGACTGTCATGTAGTGGTTTGCCAAATTTTTTTTTCTAGGTAAGTAATAAGGTTTTTACTGTTTCTTTTCAGCACACCTGGAGAATCTTACACCCGAAAATATTAAAAAGTAGTGAAATATTGGTGATTGTCTCTTGAATAGATATAAAATAAAAGTGTGTGTTAAATGACCTTCCGATAAGGTTATAAGGTGATACAACAGTTTGAATTGTCTTTGATTTTTGGTAGTATTAAAATTGTAACGTTACAATAGAAAAATTTGAGAATGATGTTCCCAAAGGTGAAAAGTAAACGCTTTGCAAATGGATTAAAAAACCGTGTTTACTCAAAGTGATAGGGATTTGAAATAATTTCTCACTTTTATGAAGTTAGATGGCGTAATTAGAGAACGAAGTTTGTTTGAACAACGTGATGTATTTGTTACAATCTGATCACAAATTCACTTGTCAAGTCAATATACATTAGGCTAAAGAGACGGAGGACAAATACAACAATTAACATAATAATATAATTGTTTTTATACCATACCATCGTTGATTGGACCGAATTGATGGGTCTCTATCGGCAAATGGGCTCCTGTGCGGATGCCTCGATATATCCTGTGTTCTAATTGTATATTATGATGGATCGTGGCTAGCAGCGGAATCCAGGATGCTATCTCGGCTCGGTGGTGTAGTGGATAACGCCCTGGAGTTTTAATCGATTGCTCCTGGGTCCCAATCCCGATGGGAATAACATCGCTCACTGCGAAGCAGGTATATCCAGCTGAAGAGTCCTAGATGGGACGAAATGCTCAACCTGGATTCCACTACTAGCCACGATCAATCATTAATATATAAATAACATAATAGGGGGTTAAAATTAAGAAAGATGAATACAAAGAGAAAGCGACATACCTGATCCTGATTTTGGTAAAAAAACAAAGTTGATCAAGCAAGCTCGGTGTAGTGTTAGAACAAAGCGCTTTCATTTATATAAGGTGGTTTCAATTTTTTATGGCTATTGCTTCCACAAATCTCAGTATACGTCCCTCACTGTTTTCACATAAAACTTTGAAAAATGTTTGAACGTTGATTTTGTGACCTATTTCTATAATATGTTTAGCTATAGATGAAGAGGGTCATTTTTCACCATCACCAGCATTTATTACAGTTTTACACTCCATTTCTTTTTCAAGCTATTTAAGCACATGTTCTCCTACCTTCAACTGTATGACTCGATTACTCCTCCCTCTGTGTGTGTGACTAGACACACATGTAAGTTGATAAACTTATTGGGACGTGGCGTAACTGTTTATGCAGTGTTTGGGTTTGTCGTTAAGCTTGTATTTTTTTTGTTTTTTTCACAATGATAAGACTAGCTGCATAAGTTTTCTTCTTAAAAGCTGATGTTAGCCTACGTTTTAAAATGATAATACTTATCTCCTCTTTATATAGTACAGTGGTATGGATGGTTTTCCTAGGGACCGTGTATAGAGTTAGCTTCAGGGCTGTCTAACTTCTAAAACGGTTTATAAACTTCAGTGGATACCCGTTTTTCGGAAGTGTTTCCGTCAGAAATTTGATATCTTTATTCACCGTATCTGATGTACTGATACAATAGATCTTATTAAAGTCATTTTACTAGACCTCACATGTATTGGATTGGACAAAAAATGTAACAAAGTGTATGGAGTCTAGCTGAAGTCAAAGATATAAAAGGAAACAGTGTATTCGACATGTCTAGATTCTACTAAACAAGCATTTTAATAGACCTCACTTGTATTGGATTGGACAAAAACTGTGAAAATTCAGGCATTCTCCTGTCCATGTACGCTTCCTGCAGACAGACCGTTTTATTAAACCGTCTTCTCTTCGACTTACGAGCACATCTAAAAATGCAAGATGACTTTTGTTCTCTTTCTCACAAGTCAGACTGATAAGAGTTTGTACAGAGTTAAGTGCTTTCAGCAGACAAACCATATTCTCATACCTTTCACAAATCACTATGATATCATCACGATATCTCTTGTAGAGAGGAACTTTAGCAATAAGATCACCTTCTGATATATGACATGAGTATCAGCTAGTAATGGTCACACTGAGAAAACCGATTGGGAATATCACGCACCAGGCACTCAAAATGAATCCAAATGGAAAACGATGAGTTGAGTGTTCCAGCTAAGGGTGACATGGAGGAGATTGTGTGACGAAGAAATGAAAGCTTGTAGGCA